TATACATACCCACATATATGTGTGTGTATACACATATGAGAGAGAGAAGAGAGTATTTATTTTCTTTTAAACACAACAGATCTGTAGTGGCACTAAATGGGGTTGAAATACGTGCAGACCCCAGAATACGAAGTCAAAATTAGGCTGTAACTTTTCACACGCTAGCACAACTCTAGACTGCAAAGAATAGGAGAATTTTGAAGCAGTTCTGAAATGTCAATTCTGTTTTTAGAACACAGATTACTCCTAACTTTACAGAGGTTGCTAGGATGATATTTTTGCTTAATAGAGTAAACTAAACTCTCTACAGAGCGTTAAAATATAGCTATAGAAAAGCTAAATTCAGCTTTTGGATGAATAAGGTTAAATACATGTAACTTAGTTTCAAATCCCTCATTTAAAGACAGAATACGACAAAAAGAACCAGCCTGGTTTCTACCAACTGTTCTATCTACAGTTTAAAAGGAAAGGTTTCTAAATGCACATATAAAGAAGTGACTTCTTTCTGCAACTCCGTTCAGTTTGGAAAACTTGGAACACATCTTGCCATGCACACTGGAACTAAGGAAACTTCACCCTGCAATGGAAATGTATTTTTCTTCCTTTAAATTCAGTCACTGCTCTAACAGCCCCCTCTAATCTCTGTGGCTTCTACAGTATTTGTACTCATTGGAAGACAGCAAACCTAGATGGTACAAACTGACTAGCTGATTACTGACAGCATACACCAGCCATATTTTGACTCCTTCCTCCTCAGCAAGAGCACAAGTTTAGGTGTCTTTCCTCTAATTAGCAATAACACTTCGCAAAACTCAGAAATGATCATCTTCAAAATGTCACCTCAAGTTTCAAGTTTGGCTAAAATCAGATGACACGCTCAACAATTTTTCAGGAAGGACTAACATGCAGACAGACAAGATCATGTGAGCTTCATTTCCTCAGGAAATTGGCCCAAAAATACACACTTTTCAAAACAGCACTAAGTACTTATTTTCTCAAACTGTCAACACTACAAATCAAAATGTTTGGAGCTTTCAATCTCAATTTTTTTGAAACTGCAGAAATTGTATTTCAACTTCTAGATCGGTGACAAGAAACTTTTTTCTTCAAGTGCCATAAACATCTTTCAGACACATTATACAGACTGCACTTGAACTTTCAGACAGCATGATAGTAATACAAAGAGAAAATAAAATTCCATGGCCACTGCAATATATGAAGTCACAGGCTCCAAGACCCCTCTTCTTACTAAAACAAGAAGTCACACACTTTGATCTTCCTCAATGACCAGCAAGCTTGCCAAGTACTTCACAGTATGTTTAATATATACAACTACAGGTAAAGGGACTCCTGTGCTTCAGTGTTTTCGCTAAACAGAAGTAGAGCTTATCACTCAGGCTGGATACAGTCAGATTCTACATTCATCCATTAAAAAGATGGAAGAAAACTCTTCATTAGAATAGTGGGATGTCAAGACTACCTTTTTTAACAACACTTCGATGTTGCTAGGATTTTGTTCCTATGTTTACTGTCAGAACACTTACTACCTAACGTAAAACTCCAGCCATGTTATTTAAATAGCAAGTGATCTAAAAATATTTAACTCTGTTGCAATGCAAAGAGTCTAGAGACTGCAAATTCCACACTGGGGATTTACACAGAATGAGAAAGTCAGCAAAAAAGACAGCATGACCTCCCCCTGCTTCTTCCACAGGACAGGCTTCAGCAAGACATCCTCCAGCCACCCACAGCCAGATGACAAAGATGATATGGAAGCTGGTGTGCTCACTGGGTCTGAGCTAACCAGGCATTCCTCCAAGCCTTGGAGGCTGTAGGTGAAGACACAAGAGGAATTCCACAGCCAACATTTACAAATGAGTACGTCTTTAATAAAAAGAAATATAACCTCATTTTGTTACTACTTCAGAGATCTGCAGAGCTGTGGAAGAACACACGACTTCAGAAAGAAGCACCAACAGTGCAGTCTCTTCAAACAGGAGTATAAACAGAAAAACGTATGCCTTGGAAACAAGGACTGAAAGCAGAGGTTGTACACATAAGCTGATTTCCACAAGCCTGGAAAGGGAAGACACAGCCATATGATCCTAACTGCAGCCATCAGTAAGTCCATTTTGTCCAGTCATTTCAACTCCTGAGAATTATGTTTTGGTTTCCAGAGTATGAAAAAGCTCATTACACGCTTCATATAAATAATTAAATAAATTACCCTTTTTCATTCAAATCCCTCATAAAAAGCATACGTTACACTGTTTGCCCTCTCTTTTTCAGTGGCTGTTCTCTTCACACCTAGTCTTACTTGCTCAGGTCTCAAAAGTGTCTGAAGCAATAAAACTCGTAAGGCCTAACAATGCAAAACACACATACCTAGTTTTCCTAACATTCCTTTATTCTGTAAGAGAATTCTTGAGCTTGGGTGTGGTGGGGCAGGTGGGGAGATGGAGGAAGGAGGGGTTTTTTAAAGTAAACTACATGTATTCCCAGCACTGTAAATACAGATCAGTGAACAAATGCCTGTACAACACCAATGTTGGGTCATATCTCCAGTCAGTTACCATGGCAGTTAAATTACCTAAACTCATAGCTCATGTCTCCAGCCAAAATAGTGAAACTCATATTTAAGTACTTAATAAACAACATCTTCCCCCAAACCACTGATTTGACCATACGTTTAATTATAATGCTCCAAAAACCAGAATGAACCAAGAGAACTGCATTTAAGTAAATGTACGAAACTACACAATGTGATATAGTTCAAATTTGTCATATCTTTGTTCAAATTTTCCTTCTACACATATATGAAGAATTGTTTAGCACTGGTGTTCTACAACTGAGATGGCTGTCAATACTCAGAAGTGGGTGTGGCAGGACAGTCACAAGTATTCCACACCACCACTCTTCTTAAATATGTATTTATAAATATAGACAGGCAGACACCCACTCACCCCCTCCCCATGTGTCTGTCCACCTATCTTGTGGATAGTTGCCCAAACAGAAAAACTGTAATGGAAGAAAGGAAGGATGTACTTCAGAAGAGAGTCCACTGTTATATTATAATTATCAAAGCCAGGAAAATGTGTTTTGCACAGAAAACATGCTTGTCTTATATTGCTCAAAATAAGAACTTCTCAATGGATAGTTTGGGTAAATACACAGAAGGTAGAAGGGAACACAAAGTATAGTGTTGTTTCCCTTCCTGTAAAACAGGGAAGTCTAGCAAGCAGAAAAATCTTCATTTCATAATATATCACAATGTCAGACCACCTGAAGGCATCAAAACAAACAATGTAAAATTGCCTTGCAGATCTACAACACTGTGACCACTTCTCCAAATTTTTATGAAGCAGATCTACTGAAGAACTCAGAGCAGGAGGAAAAAAAAAAAACCACTCACAAACAAAAGCCCTTGTTCCCTAAACCATTAAAGCCTTGACACAAGTTTACCTTACGGTGAACACTGGTTCACAGTTCAGGGTTCACAGCCAACAGAGGAAAAAGTAGGATCTTCATAGACTGCTTTTGTTTGGTTGATTTTTACTTCCTGAAGGAATAGGAAGGGAAAAGCATCACTCTATAATCAGAAGTTTGTCACTGTAATCATTAAAGGCTCAAAAGTTGGAAGGCATGAGTTGTATTGTTTGTGAAGACTTAATCTACCACCCCAAAAAATTCAGCATTAAAAAAATTGTGTTTAAATTTATGTTTGCTAATTATACACAGATTTGTGATCATATTTTTTTTTTCTCCATGAATCATTTTTAGCATTTATTTCACACCTCCTCTTCCAAGCTTATCTGAAGATCACATCTAAGGATTGGAGATGCTGCAGAACTGGTAGTAAACTCAAAAATGGGTGATTTAAAGTGCAGATATGTTTATTTCAGTGAAGTATAGTCTTCACTCATTCATATACATTAACTGTGACAGTGATAGGAAAAAATATCCACCATAACTACACAAAATGGGACAAAGGAAAATGTTATCTGTTGACTTGCCTATATCCTTAAGGTAGCAAGAACTATACAGACAGGTTTTCCTCTAGGGGTTCAGTGGTGCCAAGGGCTAATTATTCTGTGAAGTCTCAAATCTGTGAGAAAAATCATTTTCTGAATTAAGTACGGTAGTGCATATAAGTATGGTATAACAGCAGTGCTTAACCAGTATGATCAAAAAGAGAGAGATAAGAGTTCACAAAAAGATAGTGTACAGTTTCACAGCAAAATATTTAATATAACCTATGTCAAACTTCAGCTTATATTTCTGCCTTATATCTGTATAACTAGATAGCTATCAGTTCACATAGTCTACCCCATTTAAGACAATGAATGACTTCAAGCAAAGTTTCAGGACTGGTAAGCAAGGCAAAACTGATCAAAGGGTATTACAGCATTTGTTCAAAGGCCAAAATAACCAATTAGGAAAAAAAATCAAAAATAAGCTATTCCATTTTGAAATAGAGAGTTCTCTACTTCCACATACATGTTTCCTCCTTCCCAACTGATCAAACAGTAGACAAAGCATCTACTTCCAGACTTTGATTTAATTATAGCTATGAGCCCTCCAGTATTACAAGTGTGACTGACACTTGCTAAAAGCCAGTTATAACAAGTGGAGAAAGAATACTGTGTAATTAATCAATATTCAGAAAAAAAAAAAAAAAGAGTAGCTAGGGCAAAGCAAAAACCACAATTCTATGAGATCTACACTACAGTACCAGTGGACTGTATCTAGGTGGTGGGTTGACCTTCACTGTCTGCCAGGTGTCCATCAAGCCGCTCTATCACTCTTGATTTTCTCTATCTCCTCCCCTCCCCAAGTGGTGCAGGGCAACAAGGAATGGGGGCTGTGGTCGCTCCATCACACATCTCTGTCGCTCTTTCCACCTCACACTCTTCCATTGCTCCAGTTTGAGTCCCTTCCATGTGGTCACAAGTCCTGTCAGCAAACCTGCTCCAGTGTGGGCTCCTCTCTCCATGGGGCCACAGGTCCTGCCAGGAGCCTGCTCCAGTGCGGTCACAACCTCCTTCAGGCATCCACCTGCTCTGAGTGGGCTCCTCCAGGGGCTGCAAGTGGAGATCTGCTCCACCGCGGACCTCCACGGGCTGCAGGGTCACAGCCTGCCTCACCGGGGGCTGCACCAGGGGCTGCAGGGGAATCTGCCCTGGTGCCTGGAGCAACTCCGCACCCTCCTTCTTCACTGACCTTGGTGTCTGCAGTTGTTCCTCACATATTCTGACTCCCCTCTCCTGGCTGCTGTAGTGCAGCAGTATTTTACGCCTTCTTAAATATATTATCACAGAGGTGCTACTGATATCACTGACTGACTCAGCTTTGGCTAGCAGCAGGTCCATCTTGGAGCCAGCTGGAACTAGCTTCATCTGACATGGGGGCAGCTTCTACCATCTTGTCATAGAAGCCACACCTGTAGCCCTCACTGCTACCAAAACCTTGCCACCTACACCCATCTATAAATGGTGAAACATTTTTAGTGAACAGAATAAAAATCACTGGAAGCAGAAAAGCAAGGCATTGGTTTGAAAGACCATGACCAATGAAAGAAAGCAAGATCAACAGCAAGCTTGGATACATACTAAATATTAACCCAGGAAGCACAGCATTGTCCATTGAAACATCACTCTTTCCTGGAACTCCCTGATGATTCCTGCACACTCCTGTCATCCAAGTACTTGGCAGCCCAATAGTTTCTGCAGATATGCCAGAATCCCATGGCATGTTTTTGTTTAATCATGTCTACCTATGTTTTCCATAAGCATTAAAAAAAGAAAACCCACACAACAAAAAACAACACACAGAGCCCCCTATATATCACATCTTTGAAAATTCTGAGTTTAGGCTTGTTACAAGTAGTTCACAGTAATTTTGTTCCTAATCTGTTAATTTACTCTAAAAGCAACAGTTCCATAGTACCATCAGCTCCTTAAATTTCTTGTCTGATGCTAACAGGGCAGGACTACTCTAAGCTGGTGAAAGCACTTTCTACCCCCTTAAGACTTTCAAAGGATCCTTACCAGTTACATCACCAGCAGAGTGGAAAACGAAATCACCCAAAAGATGTTTATACAGAAAGGCACAAACAACCAGACACAAAAATATCAGGTCAGGTTCTTTTTAGCCCATTCCTCTATTTACAAACAAGTTCAGAATTATGGACCAGAGGATGTACAAATACAGGAAAGAGAAAGATTGTGTTGGGGAGCACATAGTCCAGCATACAACCTGACAAATACAAGAAGGCTTATTTGGCCAACTGACAGAAGGCCCAACACGCTCCTGTTGAAATAAATAATTATTTTTAAAAAATTGTTACTTATTAAGAATCTTATTTAATACACTAAAAAACGCCTAAATCCTAAGAATTGATTACTTCCTCTAAGTTAAAAAATCAGTAGGAAATGAAGCTTATTATTCTGGACATAAAAACACGAAGTAGTCTGTCTTCAGAGATGTTAAGGGTTTTTCTCTTCCTAACGCAGCAACACACACCACAGAAGATACCAAGACACAGGCTGTTGGGCTTGCTGATGAAAGACACTGTATTGTATAGTGACAACACTAGTCCTCATGAATTTGGGGAAACTATAAGCATCTTAGTACATTAAGGAACACAAAACATCCTGTGCTCTTACAGTAAAGCAAAACCACAATTATCCTTCATTCTTTAACCCCAGAAAATACTTGACACCCCTTGCTCATCAGCAAACCATGTAAAAAATCTGATTTCTTCACATAGCAAGGGGGACACTAAGGGTTGGTTCAGGCTTCCCCTAAAATCAATCCAGTGTTCTTGGAAGGAAATAGCAAGGTCTTAATTTAACAGACAGCAGCCAGCACCTTGGAAATGCTAGCTTGGAAGTTTGTTTCTCTGCAATCCTTCTTCTTGTTCTCTTTAGGAGAGAAAAGTATGGTTCAAATATGATGGTCACTGAATCATACTGTGAAGAGACTGACTCTTTGTATGTGGCAATGGCATTCTCTGGTTGAAGTGTCAAAGCCTCACTTGGTGACAACACCAGATTAAGGTATTTTCCTCCTCCCTCTCATACAAGCTATTTCTTTCTGTCTCTTCCAGAAAAAGAGATTTTTTTCAAAACTGGATTGTTTATGTCATTCATTTCTCTGAACGAGACTGGCAAACATTCAGGTCAGCACCAATGAACTGCAGTGCTGCAATCTGGAGGAGGGAACAAGCAGTAGGAAATAAGAGATTTTGGAGCCATTTCACCATTTTAAGGTGAAACTATAGTCTGAGCCTATCCACTCCTGATAAGAAAACAATGCTCAACTGCATTCATGGCTGCATGTCCTCATGCTGGCAGGGAACACCAAAAAAGCACACTGTACTTGCTCACATACAGCATTCAGAGCAAAAGAATGAAAAGGCATTACTCATGATACAACAATGGTGAATGGTAACAACAGGAGGAGGAACGTATTAGTGGATACAGTAAATAACTACCAATTGTTAAATGCAAAAATATGAAGGATGCTTGCTACATTTTTTGAGAACAAAGAGGGCAGAAATCAGTTTTGCTTTTACTGATTCAACAGCTGCTAGGATATAAGCAAAACCAGTGATACTCTACTCCTAGTTTGCTGAAATACATAACTCAAAGCTTTTCTTCAGGTTAACTACTTTCCAAACTATCAATATCTCTATATATTTTAAAAAACAAAACCCAAGAAAAGACAAAGAAACAAAACCACCCACCCATCTCCAAGGGCTAGGGCAGCAAGATAACTTCATGTAACTGCCATGAAGAACAATGTCAGGTGTGAATTCTGGAGACATATGCTTAAATTATCTGTTTCTTGTATTCTATGAAATCCTAACTAGATTTCAATTTATTTTGTTTTGCTTTAAAATACTCAGAAATCCTTTACGCAACTAAGATCTGAGGTTTTTATCAAACTATTTTACAAAAACCTCTAGTTTGTTATAGTGGTGTTGATATCAATGATATCTTCTTGGTTAAACAGCAGCATTCTCCCACTTTACTGAAACTAGAGACTATCTAACCAAATATTGTTGCAACAGCAATTTTCCAACTTAGAGCTTTAACTACACTGCCTATGCTAAAACAAACCTGAAGAGTTATGATGACATGTAAAACTCACCCTAAGTATATAAAAATAAGTATTTGGAATATTTATTTCTATTAATTTCTGTAACTGTAAAAAAGCAGCAATACAACAAAGCAGTCAATACTTGGCCTTATCATGCCAAAACCTTAACAATGATAAAACCAGACTGCCTTTGTGAAAACAAAACAACAGAAGTATTTAAAGATGAGAAAAGATGCAAAAAACCTCTTGGCACATACCTACATAACAAATTACTCCAAGTACAGCCTTTAACTGAAATGCAGTAAAATTCAATATTGTTATAAACCTAGACCGAGGCATCAGTAAGGCACAGGTATATCAGTGTACAGATCTGTCATTTAAGGTAAGATTCATTACAGAAACATCTTTGGGAAAAAAAAAAAAAAAAAAAAGAGCACAGAGAGTTAGTTATAGATTACAGTAAAATTAAATTTAAAAACGTTCAAATACCTAAACAGATGTAATTTGCCTTTTTTTATATATTTATATTGACTTTTCATATTAACACTACGTAATAACTACACAGTAACACAAACACACACAGAGTCACTAAACACCTGCAGCCCAGGTAGCTGCAACTTAGTTCTCACACATTTCCTTTTGCTCTTTTTCTGAAGCAGCCCTAGAAACTAACTTCCACTTGGACATCCAATCTATCCAAGCAAGTGCCACTGTAACACTTCATCTGAAGAATGCTGTCTAATTGTATAGTATTAACAATGCTGCCGAGATTAGCATTAGATCTGATCTTCACTTCTGATGTTCAACTTGATTGCATATTCTTTGGGTATATATTTGTAGTGTCACTAAGAAAACATTAAGAGGAATAAATTGATTTTCAAAACTACAGTGCTTGAGTCTCACCCATTTCTCCTCCTCAAATCAAAAAAAGCCATATAGATACAAGAATATCTACTAGGACAAACTGAAGTTTGAAGTAAACTGCAAGAGTCCCTCAAACCTTCATGAAATATTCAAAAAACTGAGCTTTTAGAAAAGCCATGACATATTATTTTAACAGTGATGTTTTCAAATGGCTAAAGAATTCCTTTACATTATGGAACTGACATGTTTGGGGTTTTGTGTTTGTCACTTTTAAGTTAATACATAGCCAGGAACATGAAATATTTTTCTAATAGAACACTGAACTCCATCCCTCACTAGCCACCATATCCCTTTTAAAGAAAAGGCCCCCATGCAGTAGAAATAATCACAGCTACTGTACGGCTAGTCATCATAGCTATTTGGTACAGCTAGTTGTACCAAGCTACTTCAGAACTGCTTTGCTTTCAGAATCCACTAATTTCTACACTAAATAACTCCATTTTCTTTCATTGTTGCTGTGAAAAAGATCCATGGAAACAAACAGGACAAGTTCCTGACTTTCTATACAAAGAAAACAATGAAAAGTAAATACACAGAGCAACCAGACTAAGAGATGGTAAGCCTCTGGAAGTGGTATAAAACCATATTAAACCGCTTATGCTTCGGGTTTAGTCCTTTGAGGGATTATGTCTGGATCTACTGTATGAGTAAATGCTGTGTATCACATACTGTCAACATCTATTAAAGCAGAAGGGAAGAGATACTGTCTTAATTCCTGCAGTTACAACATAGTCAGATGAACCATAGGGGAAGTGAAGCATAGGGGAAGTGAAGAGAAGAGGCATTCCCCTATGAAGCATAGGGGAAGTGAAGGGAAGAGGTATTCCTAGTCATTTGCCCATAGGAAGAAACAAACCTTACGGAGCAGTAAGCACAGCTGAAACAGTACAGCAACAGCACCGTTTTGTAGCTTAGCAGAGAATGCCAAAACACAGAGCCTACAGCCTTGTAGACTACACAAAAGGCTGGAAAATGTGAGCATGTGCACATTCTTCTATCTTCTTAAGTATATGTTGTTTGTAGCAATGCCACATAAAATATACAGAAGATTTGTATGTTTTAAATTGATATTTTTATAGTAAGTCTCAAAATTACAGTCACTGAAGTGTCAATATCTACTAGCATTTCCGCAGTCTGAGCAGCACTATTAATAAAATCAACCAGATGCAAGCTACTGTCGTATGTTGTCGGGTTGGGGTTTTTTTTATGGGTGGGTATGCAATAACAACTCTTTCATAGAAATTCATAGAGATGTTCTAAAGACAAAAATGTTCTATTGGGCATTCTTCTTATTCATGAGAAATACTCCCCTCTAGAAATCCTTACAATATGAGGCAAAAGCAACTTAGTGCCATCTGCACTGGCATCATTTAATAAACAAAAAAAGATTATTCTGAACATGTGTTGCTTTTCCATATAGCTCTGAACAGAAAATTGAACTTTGTTTCTTAATACTTTTCATGTTCTTAGGTATGCTCTCTAGCTAAAGAATGATAATACACCAGTAAATTAGAAATGATATGATGTGTTGTTTGCCTAGGCTTTAGATCAGCAAACGAGAAAGGACAGTAAGAGGACCAACAAGCATTCAAAGCATTTTTTTAAGCATCTTTTATCCAAGTTTTTAATAAATATGATGATCTTTCTTAAGAACTAAAAAAAATTTATTTAAAAAAGCAGTGTAAAATGCTAAAGCTTCACAAGTCAAAACATTTGATAATGGACTCTGAGCTTTCAATCAGAATTATTTTCCTTGCAACTTAAGTTTCCTATATATTCCCTTTTCTATATATGCACACAATTACATGTAAATTCATGTCATTCACTTGGCTCTTCAACATATATTTATAACAAAAAAAAAGCCTTAAGAATAACATGAGAAATTATGCAGAATAAAATTAGAAGTGCTTTGGAGGTGATTATTACAACTTATGAATAGAGAGAGGATTTCTAGTTTAATGTACTGTGCAGTTGATCCAGAGGAAAGAAAAATAATGTACTTACCACTGTGTTACTTTCTTCTCCCTGCTGCTTCTTCCCTGAGCTTTCAAAGCCAACATTCTGTTCAAGACAAAGGTAAACATTTTAGTCAACCCTATCCCTGCTAGATAAGAACAAACTGATATTTTATTGTATTGGATATTTATTTTGCTTTCAGAGTTTTGGTTTTCTTTTCTAAAAAGAAAAGCTGTACATGTGTGTGAGCAGTAGTTTGAAGGTTTCAAGGAACTTGAAAGACTTCCAAGACAGTAAAAATTACATATATATTTGGGGGGGGATTATTTTGTGTGTATAAGATAGTACAAAATATTGCTTTATATCTTATTTTAATTTTTATTTTAGAGCATTCTGTCTACAAATTGATTTCATTTCTATTCCATTTTTAATTGCTGTATTAAATTATTAAATCTGTTACATTAGATCTCTTGCACACAATTTTGAAGAAAGTTAAGAAATTAATGCATCAGAAGTTAACAAAACATTAAAAGAGCACACTTCTATATCATTAACTTTAAGAGTATTTCAGAAAGTTGCAACACAATAAGGCATATCAGATCACTGACACTATCTTCACTGAAGTAGAACAATTATGAACAAAAACGATCAGGGTATTCAACTGAATACAACTACGTTCAAAATTAGTGGCTGAACCTGCGGAAAGAATAAATTTTGCCTCCAACAAACACAGAAGTTTAACACATCCTCAGAGGAATTAAGTGTCACTATGGCCAGACAGATCATCCGAGCATGAAGTCATGTAGAAAAGCTAAAAAGCTGAGTCAGGCAGAGTATAATCTGTCAAATTTTTAGTACCTAGGAAAAAAACCTTAAACTGGAGGGAGCACAGGTAATAGCTTCATTCAAAGGATTTACCTATAATGGAACTGTATTTCATTCCTTTTCAATAAAAAAACAGAATCAACCCATTATAAAATGATCACAAATGTGTCCTCAAAAAAATCCTGAAACCTATTTAAAATCAAAATTGTTCCAGTGACGTGCGGAATCACACTCCACAATCTGATGGATTGTAAAGTAGGTATGTTTATTCAGCGCTGGGCACACAGGGGATAGCTCCTCCTATTGTGTGCACCCGTTATAGCATTGTTACCTTGCTTTTATAGAGTAAATGATTACATATTCATAATATTTTGCAATACGCCTATACATATGCATTACCTATCCCTGCTTCGTATTTAAATTAGCATTTCCATAGTCTCCTCCCAGCTGAGTCTGCACAGTGTCTTCTGGTGGTGGTCGTGGGGGTCTTTGGGGATGAAGTCACGCTCCTCTTCCTCCCGTCCGATTGTAACCCCAGCGTTTCGCGCAAGCTCAGTTGTTCGTTGGCCATTATCTAAACCGCAGACCTAGCTCTAACTGGTTTTGTGCTATCTATATATTTCAGGACGTCCCGTTATACATACCATCTGCAAGGCAAGGACTCCCTATCTTGACTATTCTTGATTTATTATATTGTTCATTATCCACTCATCCTGCAAGGCAAGGACTCCTTATTTTAACTACTCACTTTTACCTCATCCTACTTAGCTTGTGCCTTGCATCACCAGGAGGAATGAAAGTTCCCTGGTTTGGGATAAGAAACAAATAGCAATACAATCACAGAACAATGACCTCTTTCAGAAGCCACAACTGCCACAGCAGGATGGCACTATAACCAACTCTCACATGTTACATGTCCTTTTCCTCACTTAGGAGTCACTGGTGCCAGCTTCTGCATCCATATCAAGTGGACTCCAATGCACTATACTGCAGAAATCTGTACATTTATTCTCTGTAGAAGGACAACCAGGGCATGCAAATAGCAAGGGGAAAAATAACATAGGTGAAAGTAAGGCACCTTTCAAGGTTCCTGCTGAAAAAAGAAGTCTCTTATCAGTTTAGTCAGCCTCAGAAACATAGAAAAGCAGCACTTAAGACAAAAAGATGAAGACAGATAGCAAAACTCAAATCAGATTCTGAAACCTGAGGTCTTAGGAGAGAGTCTGTCAAACTGCCATGGCTGCATGCTTCTTTCCTTTCCTGTAGTGCTTTGCTCCTACTGAAAAACTAATCTTTACAAAAGCTATTCAGAGACACTACACAGAATCTCCCAAACAGAATTGCAGGTTTGCAATAGCTCTGTTAGGAGAAGCAGATAATTCAGGATAATTAAGAGAATACAATAGCGAAAAGCTGGATCAGACAGTGGGACAGTCAGGTGACTGCGTCAAAGAAAAAGGCATAAGGTCAAGACTTCGCAGGCAAAGAGTTCAGGCTACAAAAATGCTCAAAGAAACAGCTAGCCTCATAATCATCACAAAAAACAATAAACAAAAAGGGATTGATTACTCTTGCACCATTTCCTGACACCTGTTCAACTGCCTCTGCTGAAATGCCCAGAAGAATAAAATCAAGTGGTAGAAAGCGATTACCAAATCATGAACTGTTTGCAGACTTCCAAACCAAGCACAAGGAACTCATGTGATACCAACCATCCAGAGGAAATCATACAGCAAGTGGGATGTGTGTGCATGGAGGAATACAAACCACCACCTGGATACTTCGAGTCATTCTGCTTTGGAGATTAAGCAGCTATACACTGAACAAAAGACAGCAGTTACAGACTCCGACAAGAACAATTAACTCACTACAACGGATATTACCTTAATGTCACTTGAAACTGTCAGGTTGAGTCAGATAGCCTTAAGCCTGCATTAGAAGAAAACACCTAAGAGTGTGCTGTAACTACAGGTACTGTTGAGTCTCCAAAAGCAGGAACCCTCCAGGCTTCCACACATTCACATCGCCAGGTCCACTTCGCAAGAAAGCGCAAACTCTCAAAGAAAATAGAACAGGGTATTCAGAGAAGCCCAAGGTAAGCACACATGAGGACCCTGACTAGCTCAGATCACCACTTTCCTACCTGTTTGGCAGAAATGGTAACAGGTGCTTTAGATGACTAGTGGTAAACTACCCTCAAGATAAAAATACCTAATGAAATCTTATTTAACCCTGCTCTAGCACATGATATCAACCACAATGGACTGAGTCTTGGTATTTCTCAGGTTCCTACAACCAATAAGGCACAGCGGAAGAGCCCTAGCACTCAGCTTAAAGTACTGGGAGATTACTTGGGGGAACTAGCATGTGTGTTCATCTATGTTCTTCTGTAACATTCTGTAATCTGAACGACAAATGCAAGTCGTAAATTTGTTGTTGTTATTGCACCATAATTTTCCGATCTTTTTTACTATCTCACCAATACCTAACAGGAAGTAAAACTAAAGGCTATGATCTCAATAAATGCATTCAAAATTGTTGTGCTGGGTTTGTGTGATGGGGATTTTGGTAGTGGGGGAGGGGGCTACAGCAGTGGCCCCCTGTGAAAAGCTTCTCAAAAGCTCCCCTGGCTCCAAGTCAGACCTGGCTATGGCCAAGGCCAAGATAATTAGCAATGAAGACTGCATCTGTGTGATAACATATTTAAGAAGGGAAACCTGTGAAGGCATTGTGAGACTTATGAGGAGGCATTACAAGAAGGACACCTGTGCAAACACCCCTATGCAAGCACCGAGGTCAGTGGAAGGAAGGTGGAGGAAGAGGAGGAGGTACACTGTATCCTGGGGTGAGACAGCAGTGGTACAGCCCTCCCTGCGACCCATGGTGGAGCAGAGATTTGCCTGTAGCCTGTGGAGGACCCCAGGGACTCTCTGGGAAGAAGCAGCCCTTGCTGTTGCAGTTCTGTGCTGGGAGGACTGCAACATGTGGAAGTGAACCACGCTGGAAAGATGCATCCCGTGGGAGGGACTCACAGTGGAGAGTGTTTGTAGAAGACTGTCTCCTGTGAGAGGGATGCCATGTGTGATTCCTGCCCCTGCCACCCTTGCCTTGCAGGAAAAGTGGTGTACTGACTACACCCCCCATGCCCTGTCCCACACCACTGGTGAAGGAGGTAGAGAAAAAACTGAGCCCAGGAAGAAGGGAGGGTGGCGGGAGGCATTTTTAAGATGTAGTAATACTCCTCATGGTCCTACTCTGTCTGTTAAGTAGTGGTGTTGTTGTTAGTGTTTGGAATTAAAGGGATGTCTTTTTCTTCCCCTAACAAACCTGTCTTTTGCCTGTGACCATAATGGGTGAGCCATTCCTCTCTGTTCTTATCTTCATTCTTGAGCCTTTTGATTAATTTTTCTTCTTCACAGCACTGGGGTAGAAAGGGTGAGTGATGTTCAGTTGCTCTCCAGGCTCAAACCATGACAATCATGCTCAAATCATGCTTAACAAATCTGATCATCTTCTACAACTGACTAACCTGCTCGGTTGATGTGGGGTGAGCTGTGGGCATTGTCTCCCTGGATTTCTCCAAGGCTTTTGGTACAGTTCCCCACAGCCTCCTTCCTCCTAGAGAAACTGATGCGTTATGGTCTAGCCAAGTGGTCTGTGCAGTGGATGGGGAACTGGCTGACAGGCCGCACCCGGAGGGTGGTGGGAAACAGCTCCTTCTCAAACTGGCAACCTGTCACAAGTGGGGTACCTCAGGGATCGATCTTGGGCCCAGTGCTGTTTAATATCTTCTAAGTGATCTGGATGATGGGATCAAGTGTACCCTGATGAAGTCTGCTGATGATACCAAACTGAGTGGGGAAGTGGACACTTCAGAAGGGATGTGCTTGGATAGGCTGGAAGAGTGGACCTTATGAACCTTATGAAGTTCAACAAGGACAAGCACACCTGGGAAAACATAATCCAGGAGTGCAGCTCAGACTAGGATCTACCTGGCTGGAGAGCAGCTCTCTGGAAAGGGACCTGGGGTCCTGGTGGACAACAAGCTCAACATGAGTGAATGGTGTGCTGCTGTGGCAAAGAAAGCCAACAGGATGCTGGATTGCATCAACAAAAGCATCACCAGCAGACATAAAGAGTTCATTATCCCACACTATTCAGTGCTTGTCAGGCCACACCTGGAATACTGTGTTCAGTTCTGGTCCCCGCTATACAAAAAAGATGTGGACAGGCTGGAGAGGGTCCAGAGAAGGGCCACAAAGATGATCAAAGAACTGCAAAGCCTGCCATGTGGAAAGGCTGAGAGAATTGGGTTTGTTCAGCCTTGAGAAGGGGAGGCTTAGGGGAGACATTATCACCATGTTTCACTATTTAACAAGTGACTACAAAGAACATGGAGACTCCATTTTCACAGGAATCACATGGAAAAGACAAGGAGTAATGGGTAGAAGTTATTCCTGGGGAGATTCCTATTGGACAAGAAAATTTTTCATAATGAAAACAATTAGCCATTATAATAATCTCCCTGGAGAAGTGGTGGATTCCCCAACATGACATTTTTAAGATTCAGCTGGACAGAGTGCTGGGCCATCTTGTCTAGACCATGCTTTTGCCAAGAAAGGTTGGACCAGATGATCTTTGAGGTCCCTTCCAACCTAGTATTCTATGATTAATAAAGTTTTACTGTTCATGGTTACTGGCAAGATTTTCACTCAATCACAACCTCCTACACAGTGAGAAATGTGTGCCTTACAATGAGCTAGATTTGAAAAAAGAATTACATATGACCTTGATTGAAGAAAGAAAAGATAAAGACAGCTGGCAAAATATTTATCTCTATCCTTTTGAAATCAAACAGACATTTCACACAAAGTAGGAAGGTCTGCAGACCACATCTTAGTTAATCTGGGGAAAAAGCTGGGGCAAGAGGGGAGGACCAGGGAGACCCAAAGGATTCAGAAACCATTCTCAAGAAAGAGTACATCTTGTTTTTCCTGGAAGCAGACGCAGTCACCATGTCTTATTATTTCTTGTGTGTCTGAATCAAAGCCAGATATTTATAGAGTG